CTGCTGAACCAAAAACGCCATCATCTCAGCCATGGCCCTGATCGCACCCTCTCTAGCTTCCAAAGCATAGTTGCGAGCGAGAGCCCGCAGCAGAACAGCCAAGCCAGTCACATGGCGGGGCCCGAGTCCGTCTTGCAAGTCCAACACCTGCCCCTGCTGTAAAATCTGGGCATCCAACTCGTCTGCGAACTCCCTCGCGGCGCCTCCAAGGCGCAACACCACAGCAGCACCCTGAGCAGATTCAGGAACCTCCGTTGCTATACTCCACAGCGCAACATCTCTAAGCCATCGTCGGAAAGGATAGCGTGAACTCCATTCTGGCGACCATGCCGGTGGTATTTTCACCGAGGCCATGATCTGCGCCTGGTCGGCATATGTGAGAATGTCCGACATCACTCCGAGATCAAAGAAACAGGCTCGTACTTCACAGCAGTGTCCTCGTTGACTGTGACAGGGCAGGAGCGGAGGTGGCGTCGACCCAGCCGAGCTTGAGCTCGGCGTCCAACAGCGAAGCGCACAGTGAAGCCCCGGCCGATGGACCGAGGCTCCGCTACCAAGGTCAAATGAGCGGATCGGCACAAGCCACGCAGAGAAAGCAAGGAAGATAACCTTTTCCAGCAGGCGCACCGGCGCCAATCTCATCTTCAGTACAAGCAAAGGACACTGGCTGGCCGCCTTGAGCACAGGCGGCGACAGGGCGGAGAGGCTGTGAGGGGGACGCTGCACATACACTTTGACTAATTCCTGCTCTTGTGCCCCCCCCCCCCCCCCCCCCCATTTTGAGGGGCCCAAACGGCCACAGGTTAGATATATGCCCCCTGGGAGCCCCAAGAGGCTTCAGGAAACCCCAGGTGGAGTTCAGATGGCCACAGGAGGCCCAGGAGGATGGCCCAGGCGGTCCCCACGACACCCCAGGAGGCACCAGGAGGCCCCCGCAACTCGGAGCTTTGAAACGCCGCGCTCGAGGTAGTCCGGCCCGTTTCGCCTGAGACTTCCTCGCAGCACGTTTTGCCCGAGACATCGTCGCAACTCTGGGGTCCGAGATGCCGCGCGCGAGGTGGTCCAGCCCGTTTCGCCTGAGACATCCTCGCAACTCGTGGCTCCGAGATGCCCTGCGCGAGGTGGTCCGGCCCATCTCGCCTGAGACATCCTCGCAACTCTGAACTCTGAGATGCCGTGCGCAAGGTGGTCCGGCCTGTTTCGCACAAGACATTCTCGCAACTCTGAGCTCTCAGATGCTGCGCAAGAGGTGGTCCAGCCTGGGGTCCCAGAAGACCACATGTTACATATCCCCCCTGGGACCCTGGGAGCCCCAGGAGGCCCCAGAGAGCTTCAGGAAGCCGAAGGACGCCCAGGACAGGCCCCAGGGGTCCGCAGGAGATTCCCAGGAGGCCCCAGGAGGCCCCCTTTCAGAACGTGTCAAGTTAATACACATCCGGTGTCGATTCGTTGATTTTTCCTGCTCTTATGCCCCCATATTTTGGGGGGCCCCGACGGCCACATGTTAGATATCCCCCCCTGGGAGCCCCAAGAGGCTTCAGGAAGCCCCAGGTGGGGTCCAGGAGGCCACAGGAAGCCCAGGAGGAAGCCCCAGGCGGTCACCAGGAGGCCCCAGGAGGCCCCAGGAGGCCCACGCAACTCGGAGCTCTGAGACGCCGCGCTCGAGGTGGTCCGGCCCGTTTCGCCTGAGACTTATTCGCAGCACGTTTCGCCCGAGACACCGTCGCAACTCTGGGGTCCGAGATGCCGCGCGCGAGGTGGTCCAGCCCGTTTCGCCTGAGACATCCTCGCAACTCTGGGCTCCGAGATGCCCTGCGCGAGGTGGTCCGGCCCATCTCGCCTGAGACATCCTCGCAACTCTGAACTCTGAGATGCCGTGCGCAAGGTGGTCCGGCCCGTTTCGCACAAGACATTCTCGCAACTCTGAGCTCTCAGATGCTGCGCAAGAGGTGGTCCAGCCTGGGGTCCCAGAAGACCACATGGTACATATCCCCCCTGGGACCCTGGAAGCCCCAGGAGGCCCCAGAGAGCTTCAGGAGGCCGCAGGACGCCCAGGGGTCCGCAGGAGATTCCCAGGAGGCTCCCAGGAGGCCCCAGGAGGCCCCCTATCAGAACGTGTCAAGTTGATACACATCCGGTGCCGATTCGTTGATTTTTCCTGCTCTTGTGGCCCCCCCCCCCGCATTTGGGGGGGCCCCGACGGCCACATGTTAGATATCCCCCCCTGGGAGCCCCAAGAGGCTTCAGGAAGCCCCAGGTGGGGTCCAGGAGGCCACAGGAGGCCCAGGAGGAAGCCCCAGGAGGTCACCAGGAGGCCCCAGGAGGCCCCAGGAGGCCCACGCAACTCGGAGCTCTGAGACGCCGCGCTCGAGGTGGTCCGGCCCGTTTCGCCTGAGACTTCTTCGCAGCACGTTTCGCCCGAGACACGTCGCAACTCTGGGGTCCGAGATGCCGCGCGCGAGGTGGTCCAGCCCGTTTCGCCTGAGACATCCTCGCAACTCTGGGCTCCGAGATGCCCTGCGCGAGGTGGTCCGGCCCATCTCGCCTGAGACATCCTCGCAACTCTGAGCTCTGAGATGCCGTGCGCAAGGTGGTCCGGCCCGTTTCGCACAAGACATTCTCGCAACTCTGAGCTCTCAGATGCTGCGCAAGAGGTGGTCCAGCCTGGGGGCCCAGAAGACCACATGTTACATATCCCCCCTGGGACCCTGGGAGCCCCAGGAGGCCCCAGAGAGCTTCAGGAGGCCGCAGGACGCCCATGACAGGCCCCAGGGGTCCGCAGGAGATTCCCAGGAGGCTCCCAGGAGGCCCCAGGAGGCCCCCTTATCAGAACGTGTCAAGTTGATACACATCTGGTGTCGATTCGTTGATTTTTCCTGCTCTTGTGGCCTCCCCCCCCATTTGGGGGGGCCCCGACGGCCACATGTTAGATATCCCCCCCTGGGAGCCCCAAGAGGCTTCAGGAAGCCCCAGGTGGGGTCCAGGAGGCCACAGGAGGCCCAGGAGGAAGCCCCAGGCGGTCACCAGGAGGCCCCAGGAGGCCCCAGGAGGCCCAGGAGGAAGTGGAGGAGGTGGAGGTGGAGGAGGAAGAGGAGGAGGAGGAGGAGGAGGAGGAGGAGGAGGCATGTTTTAACATGCCATGCCAGCCCGCACTAGACGGGCACGCAATCGACCTTGGAAACCGCAGTTGGTCTAAAAACCTTGTTTGGGGATACTGCACTCCGGCTATAATAGAAGGACGGCTGGGGTACCAGCAGATCCCAGCTGCCTTCTGGGCGCAGGTGGTCGAACGACCAGCTTGACACATCAGTGGCTGGTACCCTTCTCGCATGTTTGCTTCTCATGCGGGGATTGGGGGGGCCGCGCGCGGTGGCCAGCAGCCACAAGCGTGCGCCGGGGCGTGCGCAATTGCTGGCGTAGCAACAAATTTCGGCGCACGCAGGTGGAGCCCATATTGGTTCCCAGTGGCTAGTGGCTGGCGTAACTGGCGCGGCTGGAGCACGTGGAACACTGGTCGCACGTGGAGCACGTGCCGCACCTGGCGCGCCTGGCACGCTTGGGCCACCAGGGTCTGGTGCATCTGAACCCGTGGCGTCTGCGGCGTTCTTACACGATATGCTGATTCCCGGATGTAACGTCTGTGTTGGGAGGGCGGGTGGGAGTGAGCAAGCCGGCTTGCGGCCGGGTGGGAAGCTTGACCCCTCCCCCTACCCCCTACCCTGGACCTGGACCTGGACGGGGGTGGGGGCGCGAGGTGTCAAAGGGTCCTTTTTGGCCCAAGATGGCTCCACGAGAGCCCCAGAGAACCCAAAACGGCCTCCAAGATCGCTCAAGATAACCCAACATGGCTCAAGATAGCTAACAGCATGCCTCCAAGAGGCCCCAAGAGGGCCACAAGACAGATCCAAGACCCCTCAGGACATCCCCGAGAAGCCAAAGTCCTTCAAAATCCGAAGGCAAATCTATGATGTTGGCCTTCTCGCCTCTTCGCTTCCGATGCGCTTTTCAGGCCTCAAGATGGCCCCAAGATGGCCCAAGCGAGCTCCTAGATTCCTAGATGGGCCCAAGAAGCCCCCAAGGCCCCTAGAGCGCCCAAGATCGCCCCAAAAGCGCCCCAAGAGGGCCCCCAGAGGCGATTCCGAGCGCTCTCAGAGGGGGCATAGATAAGGGACCCCCCCTCCTTCTGATCGATGGCCTCCAAATGGCCACAGGAGGCCCTGCGAAGTTCCCAGGAGAGCCCAAGAGAGTCCCAGGGGGGGCCAAGAGGGCCCCAAAAGGAACCCGAAAGGACCCCAAGACACCCAAAGAGCCCCAAGAGGGCCCCAAGATGCCATCAGCAGCATCAGCATCAGCATCAGCATCAGCAAAGGGGCGACAGACTAGGAAGGGAAACATCGACATGGAGTCAGCGATACATCGCCGATAGATTGGCGATAGGTCCCCGATAGCAAATCCGCACGGTCCGGGGCCTGGGTGGGCCATCGGGTCCTATCGGCAATAAATGGGCGATTGGGGGTCTCTGCGTTCCCCCCTTAGCCCATCCCACCTAACGTTGCCCCTGCAGTCATCGCCCCCTCTTGGCAGCCACCGAACCCAGACATCCGCCGCCTTGATTTGTTTCTAGACATGGGCCCCCGACCTCTCGACCACTGCCCCGGGACATTTTTTCGTCCCGAGATGTGTTTTGACTGCCCCGAGGCCTGGTAAGAGCTCCGAGAGGCCTATCCTCCCTAACGGTGCCCCTGACCCTATCCCCCCTGAGCCTACCCCCCCTGAGGCTAACATCACAAGGTCTTGAAATCCCCCCTCCATTAGTGGACAAATAGCTATTTTCCGGGGGCTAATTGAGAGATCGGCAAACGATTATTCTGCCGCCGCCGTCGTCGCCGTCGCCGTCGCTAGCCAAGAGCTTTGTAGGGGGTGGCGGGGCGGCAGGATTAAGGACCTCCTGAGGTTATCCCCTTCCCGCCGTAACGTGCCCCTGAGGTGAGGAGGGGGGCCTGTGCCAGACTTCCTTCGACACCAGCGTGCCCATCTGTCTCACGGCGGCCTGCGGGAGCGAGCCGGGGGCGAGGCCCAGGAGGAGGAGGATATCCTGGAGCCTAAGCAGGAAAAGGAATCTGAGCCCTCCCTCCTCCCTCCCCCCCAAGCCTCCTCCTCTTCAGTCTCCTCCTCCTCATCATCCTCCTCATCCTCTGTTTTACATCGCACGGACGTGGTTGCAGACGCGCGCCCCGTGGACAGGACCAGACCTCGGAACATTGGTGCCAACAAGTGACGCTGATGGCCACGAGAGACTGTTGTTTTATACACTCTGGCACGTAACGATCGCTACCCGGGTCCTCTCAACAGAACCGAGTGCTCCACTGCGCGAGAGGCGAAACTCCCAACATCACGGATGAAAATACCAACCAGCTATGGAAGGCGTCTGTGCTTAAAAACCGAATGCCTTCCAATTGATGGGGGTGGGACTCCTGTCTGTTGCAGACGATGAAAAGGGCCTCCACGAAGCAACTGCTGACCCAGGAGAAGGGGGAGTAAAAACACACACACACACACACAACAAAAAAAAAAAAAAAAAAAAAAAAAAAAAACGTAACAATGGCGAGGATAACACGAACGGGAAAGTCGATCCACGGAGAAATGAACTGTCCTTCCCTCGCCCCCTCTCCCTCCTGCCTGCTCCCTCCCCTCCCGCGCGCTCCAAGGCGCTGCCCTGGAACCTCCTGGAGTCTCCTGAGGCCTCCCGGGGTTTGCCCTCGTTCCCTCCACTTCCCCACCTCAGCTTCCCTCCCTCCCTCCCCTCCCCTGCCCTCCCCTTCCCTCCACGTCCCTCCCTCCTCCCTCCCTCCCCCCCCTCCCTCCCGCCCTCCCCTCCCCTCCTGCCCCCTCCCCTCCCTCCCTCTCCTCCACTCCTATCCCTCCTCGAAGATATGCAATATATAAAATTACAACCTCTGCTGAATGCCAAATGCTGTCGGGTCTAGCAGGCCCCGCTGGAACTGCCCGCGAGCCCTCAGGGCGAGGGGGTCTGGGGCGCTATAAGCGTCACCTGCTCCAAGAGTGAAAAGCGTCCGACTCTTGCAGGAATGCCCCTGGATCTCGCAGATAACAACCCCCTTGTGTGGATTCAGCATGTCCTATAAAAATGCAAGAATTATAGCCGGAGTGCAGTATCCCCAAACGAGGTTTTTAGACCCACTGCGTTTTCCAAGGTCGATCGCGTGCCCGTCCAGTGCGGGCTGGCATGGCATGTTAAAACATGCCTCCTCCTCCTCCTCCTCCTCCTCCTCCTCGGTTCGGTTCGGTCGAATGACGGAGAGTCGAAGCCAATGATGGTGAGAGATAGGGCGAGAAGACCGCTGGGTGAAGAATGACAGCAGGCAGCAACAGCAACCGCGAAGGTGGACTGAACTGCCTGGCGCTCTTGGCGCAGCCTGCACCTGTAAGTGCAAGCAGGGGTACTATCACTTAAAGCTGATGGACACTTAAGTAAAGGAAAAGGGGCAGAAATGTAGAGATGGATAAGGAGAGCCTTCCCCCACGGAGTGAAACCAGTTACTGCCTGTGGCGACGCTGGGCGATGACGCCGAGCATGCTCTATCGTTACTGCCGAGAGGGCGGCGCACCCTGCGGAGCCTGTGGTTGGGCTCGGCATTCCTTCACGTAGAGCCCTTCACTGAAAACACAACGCTGCTGGCATAAGGCAAGCAGCTCTGCAACTCAACAATAAATAGCAAATAAAAAACATAAACACAACACAGGGAAAGAAGAGGGAGGGCCGGTGCACGTCACAAGTCGGGATCCGCGGCCGTCCGATGCAACATACAATCCATACTGATGCCCTGTACCAAGTAAGGGTCCCACGGTGCCGAGAACTGTCGTAACCCTGTCGGCGCACTCCACCCGTCACAAGAATCGCCAAGGTCCACCAACGCCCTTAACGCTCGTTCGTCGTTGAGGGCCCACGCGAGTGGTGGCCTGACAGCAGCAGGGGACGAGGGAGGAGGGTGTCCAGGGCCCTGGCACAGTTCGGGGAACCTAGAGCGGGTCTCCTCTAGGAAGCTGGCAGCCAGGAACAGGCACAGGCGACTCGGGTAGGTCTTGAGGTGAGCAGTGCGCCAGAGTCCATCATTGCCTACCCCCCAGAACCCCCTATGTGGCCTCGCGTGAATGCACCTACCACGGCCTATCTTGGCCTCCAGGATGGCCCCCATAGCAGGAACATGAACCGCGAGGAGCGTAGTGGGTTTCAGCCCCTGGCCCCCGAACGCGCACTGATGAATGTGGTGAGCCTTAACCCCAGGGAGCCCCTCGAGTCTGCGAAGTTGGGGAAGCAACCAGGAGCTGGGAGCCTCAGGGACACGGGTGTTAAGGGAGGGGTGCTCCATCAAAGCGGGGATCCCAAACGTCCAGGCCTCGTAGAGAAAACGGATGGTGGTGCGAAGGAGAATGTTTCCTAGCCGCACCTGCTCGCGCTCTCTGGCATTGAGGTGGCCTAGCCCCCACAAATGCTGGGCAGAACGTAGGGGGCGGGGTGGCTTCCTCCCTCCAGGGGCGTCCTCGGGAACGGGCAGGTGACGAGCCGAGGGCCATGTCTCGCACGGGGGGCCAGCGAGAATTCCAGCGACACGCCCAGATCGCAACATTAAGGACCACAAATGCACGGTGGCAGGAGCAGTGAGATCGCCGTGCGTTGCATGGTTAGCAACGTCAATACTAAGCACAATAACGTTAGTGGGCAGGTCCTTTATCAAAGCTTCTAAATGCCACTGGAAATCTCGCTCTCGCCTGAATCCTGAGAACAGGTGTAGGATATACTTGACTGGCCGAATGGGCAGGGGCCGAAGGGAGAAAGCGGAGGGGTCAGGCGGCGGAGGGGGAGGGAGGACCTGAAGAACTGGGGCCTCAAGCTTGGCCTGCCTGCGAGAGACAACGATGCGAGGTCCAACTGGCGGTCCCTCGAGCTGGACGGGGGGGGGTGACGCAAAGTTGGCCGGCCTCCCCTTCGATCGGTTGTCGGCTGAAACTCGGCGAGCTTCTTCACGTGCCTGTGCCAGCTCGTCTTGGTGAGCTGGACCTGCTGCGTAGCCTGACCTGCTCCAAGACACGCGACATGTGAGGGGCATTACGAAGATGCTGGGTGAGTCTTGCTACATCACTGAACTGTTTCAGGCATATCTGGCAAACAGAACCTACTGCAATGGCCGTCGGGGCCTCGGGCGTTTTGTGAAATTTCCCCATGTGTGCCAAAAGAGCCTGCTCACTAGCTGTGGTATGAACACAATGGGGGCACTTGAGGAGTGGGACCGATGGGGGTGCGTCGCAAAGGGGGGTTCCTTGAGCTGTAGTTCGGAGCTCTCTCTCCCATATAACTCTGTGCATGTCGTCCTGCGCATGTGGCTTAGCATGACTAATGGCTGAGCTAATGAGGGAACGGTAGGCACGGGGATTATCCAGAGCAAATCGGACTAGTCCCTGAGATGTGGTGTCGGTAGGGCGGCGGGCTGGGTCAGTGTGGAACAAAAGCCAATCATAATCCGCCTGTAGCTGGTGTGCCCACCCTCGTGGATCATCCCATGTTATATCTACTAGGACCCTAATGAGTGGGGGGGCATGGGTGAGCACGCGCGCAAGATAACGGAGCCTCGCAATGGCCATGACAACGGCTTGCGGAAATCTCTGAGTGTCAAACAAGACCTGAGCAGAAAGAGCGTGATCATTGGCGTTGTTGGTGCTTGAAAGATTCAACGCCGCTCGGTAAACCGCCATGTGCGCCGTGCACATATGTCTAGCTTGGGCAACAGTGATGGTAGGCCAAATGGACACTGCATAATGCAGGACCGACGAGGATAAAGCCTCAGCATAAAGCACTTTAGAGCGTAGTGAGAGGCCCTCTCTCGGGCCAATGGTGGCCTTGATGGGCCTGAGGGCGGCGCGGGCCTTGGCGCAGCGGGCGGTGACTTCAGGAGCCACGCTGCCAGATGCAGCGATTTGAACCCCCAGGACCTTGTGAACCTGGACGGTAGGGAAGGCAAAACCCCAGCGCACTGACTCGAGCTCCGCGACCCCGAAAGAAAATCCAGGGACCCCGCGGGACCCCACGCCACGCAGAAACACAAGTAACTTGGTCTTGGCGGCATTGGGGCGAAGCCCTAGAGATAGGCAGGATACGTACACTGCCTCAGCAAGGGCCAACGCCACTGTGGGCATGTCCTTTGCCCTTTCAACAAACAAAGTGACTGTGAGGTCATCAACGAAAGAGAGATCAGGCTGAGCATTGTCCCAATCACTTTGAGACGAGCAGAATGGTTCTGGCTGGTCAAAGACGTCCCTCACTGAGGCCGACAGCTCACCGATGGCCTCGCGGATTTTTAGTAGGACGGACCTGAAAACCAGATTGAAAAAATCGGTAGCTAAGATAGTCCCCGGCCTGGTGCCCCCCCCTGGGAGGACGTAACCTTGGGCATTGCGAACTTGCCAAAACGTGCCTCTCTGGGACTCCTGAATGAGTGCCAACAGGTGAGCAGACGGGACATGTGCTTCCAATGGCTTGCTGGCTGCCAGCATGACCTTGGCACCCTCTAGCAAGATGGGGGGAAGCTGAACCTGCTGCAAGGCGTCCTCCAATTTTTCTTCCTCGCCCGGCAGTGACAACGCAAACTGTTTGATGACGCTGTAAAATGCGTCAACCAAGTCCAGGGAGAGGATGAGGGTCGAAAACTTGCGCTTGTGTGCAGCATTGCTTGCTAAATGCAGGCCGTGCACGGCCATCTCAGGGCATTTGTGAGCAACCCCTCCGCACTGCTCATCAAGCAAGCACATGGCAAAGAAATCTAGGGCAAGAGACCGTATATGTCGGTGATATAGTTTGCAAATAGTGCTAGCCATAATAATACTGCGCTGAGCCTTGGCAACCTGTGGGGGTCCCGAGCCTTTGTAGAAGAAGGTGACCTCCCCCATCTTAAAAACAATAGGTTCCCTAGCAGCAATGGCAATCTTGGCCAGCAGTGGGCACAGGGCGGAGGCGAGAGCACGGGGGGCAGCACG